AAAAATAGACTTTTATAAGGCATTTAGTCTTTTGCGACCGAACTTATGGCCTGGGATGACGTCACAAGAGTCGCGCCAGTTCCCACTCGGACAAAAGAATTTGACGCACTTAATTTTGGCTTTATTTTTCCGATTTCGTCCAAACCGTTTACAAAATAATCACCAAACTTTCACAGAAAGTCTTACAAGGTTCATAAAAATTGTTTAAAATAATAAAAACATTGTGTTTTCTGTGTGTCAAAGGAGGGGTAAAAGTTGAAATTATTTTGACGTCCTACAATATGAAATCTAAATGCTTGTTAAGATAGTTATTGCAGTTTCAAGCATTATCAATTAGATAGTCATAGATATAAATGTACATTATCATCATTATAGAAGGCCAAATAATAAACTGCCCTCATAAAAACACGCACCTAGCGGGCCGATAATGATTTTGGCGGGCTGCAAATCTTTTCGTATCGTCTCGCCTTCAGGAGGTACCCAATGACTAGTAGGTTTAAGACATTCAAATACATCACGTTCACGTTCATTCAGAAGGATGGATAGAGAAATGAGCTCTGAGGCGAGTACGACGATAAAAAGATTCAGCATCTTTTTTAACCTGAAATTCATCACTCTTCTTAGCAAGGGGGACAAAATTCAAACCCTTACTAAGAACAGAGATCTCAGATTCAGAAAGATGTAAATTATTATTATTGTGTTAAKTATCTTCTTTACACAACTGTCCATTAAATTGTAAGGTTTCAGAAATATATATATATTTTTTATGGCTTACTACGTATTGTGTTATTTTGTTCTGAACCAAAGAAATACTATTAAGCGAATGCTTGTTCTTATTTGCACAATCAAATGGAAATGTTTTAATCAGCTGTTGTATAATTTAAAGGGTTTTTAATAGCAGTTATCGGAGTTGAGCTCGCTCACCAGCGGTCATTCAAGTGCATGAAAGCAAGGCATTTGGGCCGAGCGATTCATATAGTCGAAGAAAATGACTTTGTATGTGCTCCAAGAAGCTTTTTTTAGCAAAGAGCAAGAAATTCAAATGATCAGTGGTGTTTGTCCGCGGGAATTCACAAACTAAGAAGATTGTCTTAAACAATGGCTCAGCTACCGTAAAGGTACATCAAGAGACGGCAGTGCGGCATCGAATGACAACAAACCATTTCAGATACAATAGATTTGATCATAATCAATGTACGCAGAAGTAATATTTTTTTAATGGATGTCATTCCCAGACTAGAGCGTTTTTATGATTTTCACATTTTGTTAGAGCTTGCTTATCCAAGACTGAAATATGGACTTACTAGATGTAGTAAACACATAAGTGTGAAAGACAGGATTAATAATCTAGAGATATTTTCTCGGCCTTGTAGAGTGATTTTCACCAGACTTTGAACAATTCTTACAGCGGAAATCGTTGCATCGCGACCTCTTTGTTTTGAAGTTTGTCTGGATTTTGTTCTTTCTTTCAATCTGAGGGGCGGAGCTTTTCGAAAACTCGTTCAATCATTGGCTGATTAGTATCAAGCTCCGCCCCCAAGTCGCAGAGAAATCTAAATCCCAAGTATATTTCCTTTGAACATTGAAGTCGCGACGCAACGGTTTCTGCTGTAATAGTCACTGTTTAACCCTTTGACGACGGGTGTTTATTTGTTGATTTTGGAGCGTTTTCGACTATAAAAAGATGATGGAATATTTAACTTCCATATAAGGTGTTGTCAATCAAACTATTGCGAATTTGAATTCCCTAGTGAGCGTTAATTTATGCAACTCATTGTAAATTTAGGTCGGATCGTTTGTTCATCGAATGGTTAAACCTAAATTTACCAAACCGTTTATAAGTGTTTTTTTGAGCTTTTTGCTGCCACAGGAGCCCCTAGGCTTGCATCATTAAGCTTGACTAGTCGGCAGAGACAATCTTMTGGAAGAAATCAGAGGTGGAAAGCGATTTTTCGAAGACAATTGCTCCAAGTCACGGTTTGTTTTGAACTGGAGACATCATTTTAAGATCGCTTTCCTGGTCCATCTGTGGCAGATTTTCCRACCTACCAAGGTAATTTTGGCAATATTTGACAACCAAAGAATGCAATTGGCCCGATACTTTGCCTGTAGGTGCGGGGGAGCTCACACTAAAATAATTCTTCAGAGAAGAATGCTGGAAGATTTATGTCCAAATTTTGTCGCTTCCCGTGATGCATTTCGGTCGTTCACGGGAGTTTGTTGTACCGGGTGTTTAAAAGAGGGCTGTTGAGAGGTCTGCAGAGACTTTGAAAGAATAAAAATGGCAAAACGAGGATGTGCTATAAAAGGGGTTTGCAAGTGAAGTGGACTTTTGCTAGAAAAACATATTTTGACGCTCGAAATTGAGATGGAATTTAGTGTTGCCTGTAGTCCTCCAAACGCAAATTTTGGCATTCACTTCAAAGCAGAGTACTGTTTTGTGCCTTTTTTTTACCAGAGGGTTAATAGTGTCAATAGTTATATTCCAACAACACTGAGTATTTTATCTGGGTTTAGTGTTTATGAAGTATAGTAGCTTAGTAACTATTTCACAGTCAAACAAAAACCACTCTACAATAAAAAGTTAAAAATAATCAGTGTACACAGAAACATTTTTTTTAATAAATGCAATTCACAGACAAGAKCATTTATGATTCATTTTAACATTAACCCTATTCAGACTGGGGGGGAGGGGCTTTTGAGACCCACCTCGCGTAAAAAGCCAATAACTTTCGAACSAAGACAGCTAGAGCTCTGAAACTTTCGGACTTTTACTAAAATTTATCTGGGCAGRTTTTGATGTAATTTTTYTGTTGATAACGTCATCCATGTCGCCATGGCAACCAGTTTTTGACACATGTAAAATATGCTTAATTTTTCATTTGTAAAGCTTATTTCTTGTTTTATTATGCATCTTTTACCTATTTGAGCTTGTTCCCATTGCTGACTCTACAATACCATAATACTTTTTCGACAACAAAAACTTTGGGGGGAGGGGTGGGTAGTTTTCTGTCATTTTTTCACATGGAAGAAAATTTCGTTAAAATCATCAGTAACACTTCGAAACTCACTTTTTTATTCATTAAATGTTAGTTTGAGAAGTATTTAAGACATTTTGAGCTGTTTGTCTCAATGCTTAGTTTTTTAATCGCATTTTAGAAAATTCAAGATGGCGGTCCAAGATGGCGGATCCTAAGATGGCGGATATTCTTCTCAAAATTGCTTGTTCCAAATTGTTTAACTTC